CTCGCACGGCTCGCTCTGACCTAAGTTCCAAGGCAGATGTTTTTCTGGTTCGATCCCCTCTCACCGCGGTCCATTCCACACTTCGACCTGTTTCCTGCAGCAGAGATCGTAGGTGCTAGAACAGCTGTGTGCAATCGCCGAAAATCGCCGCCATCGAGATTTTCAAACTGGCCCAGCATTCGTTCAGAAGTCGTTTGGAAATGGGCAATGGCAGCAGTTGCCAAGAAGCGTCGAAACAAGAAGTCCAGGAGGTGCACTTCGGTCTTTGGGTGTACAGGACTGGAGCCAACAAGCCGTCCAAGGTGTTGTTGACTGTTGAAGGTTCAGAGAAAAAAGAAGAATCTGTCTTTAGGTCCCGGGGGCATGTCAAGTTCTTGCAAAAGGGTGTCAGGTCTTGAAATCGGGGATAAGTTCAGGGTTCACGGCCGTGAGGTCTGACAGCTTCACAGTGCTTGGGTCTGGAGATGGCGGCTATGAGATTTAGTCACCATGCTGTTATAGTTCTCCTTGGCCCTCAAGTCTGGTCAGGGTCTGATTCCTGGAATTTAGCCTGGGAACTGTGGATGGTATAAATCCTGCATTACCTTAAGGACCCTAAACTATGGGAATTATGGTACATTCCTTATTATGGGTAATGCAGGATTTATATCATCAACCGGAATCGAAAGGCCTGAAGGTGACGCCTTTAGTCCCTCAGGCCCGACATCCTCAAACCCCGGAGCTGTCGAAACACGGCCCTTAGAGAGCCCGGATTCCTAGAAAAAAGAGGTGCCGAAGGTGGTGGTTGAGCTCAACGACGACAACCACTTGAAAGATTTGCCGGTGCACTTGAAACTGCCGTCCACTGGCTCGGCAGAGGCAGCTTTGCTTCTCCAATGTCCAAACTACCAACTTCTCAAATTGCCCGTTGAACGAATAGCATATCTACAAAACCTGGTTTCGCGCATGCCGCAGCGACTGTTGAGTGAGCAAGACAGGCAACAAGCTCAGAGCTGATCAGCGGCGAAGAGACTGGGAGAGGATCGCTATCTTCGCTGGCCTCCATGGCTTCGCGTTTAAGCTACCGCCTGGAGCACCTTGGCGTTCTTCTGGTTTGCTCTTAGGACTTCGACTTTTGGGTTTTCTACATGAACTCTATAGTATACTACCACATACTATCATATACCATAGTATACTGTAATGTACTATAGTATACTAGAATAGTCAGCCAAGGCACTTTGTCCTCGAAGACGATCTACTGCGAGGGATTCCTTTGAGAGCGACATTGTGGGGCCTTGGAAAGCTTTGGCTCACCTCGCCCATCGCTCCTCGGGTTTCTCCTCAGGGGGTTTGCTTACCTTTGGTTAGTAGGGAATGGAAGAATGGTAGTAATAGTAGTTATACTTGTATTCCATTCCTCCATTCAAAACTAACCCAAGGTAAGTTTAGGGTTTAGAGGTTTTAAAATCCCGGGGATGACACCTCCTGCACAAGGACTCGTTACAAGACTTACCGGTGCACCTCCTAGCTCGAATGTTGTTCAAAGTACGTTGACAGGGTTATAAGTTATTATAAGGCCAACCGTAAGCGACGGACAGCACAAAATCAGCTACTGCGACAGAAGCGGCCAAGGATCTACCGGAGCAGGCGAAGAAGTCTCTGTGGGGGAGATCTCGCAAGGTGAAAAAGCTCGACATTTTTTTGTCACATACGTGGCACACCCGGGGCTGGCGCAAGGCAGGTCTGACAACTCGTCGTTTACACTTGAGTATCGCTTAAGTTCCTTGAGGGGGTCAGTAGCAGAGAGACTGGCCTCATGTGTCGCACCCGCGAAGGTGCTGGCGCTGCTGGTGCAGCTCGGGTCCTACAACTTTCTGGCTGGCTGGTTTTTCGGCGTAGTTCTTGGAATCGTGCTGCAGGCAACCATGGAAGCTTGTCCTGTTTCAAGCTGGTTGAAAATACGAAGCCTGCGAAAGTTAGCGGTTATCCAGTGGTTGCATTGGACTGCTACGAGGCTACTTCGGAAACACTCCAAGCCCGCAGCAGTACGTCCATGTTCCCAAGCTTGAAAGCCCACCATCGACTAAGGAGATACCTGATTTTATCGCACCGGCGCCAGCTATTTGGATCGGTAGCCAGATTCACAGGTTTGGAATCTTTGCTTCCTTTCCTCGTTGTGAAGACAACTGTGACTGCAGACTGAACCCCAAAGCCTGACATTCAGAAAGCAAGACTCCGTGCCTGGTCGGAAGAAGACTCCTAACTCAGGTGGTCCCATGGGGTCGTTCGTGGGCCTGCTGGCCTCACCTTACATGCCACACTGGGCTGCATTCAGGGGCAAGTCGCGAGAGATGTGTTTCTTCGATGCGGCATGCATCAATCAGGTGGGTGAGCAAGGGCTCTAAATAGTTGCACTTGCCTGAATGATTCCTGAGGCTGCATCGCAATACACCCAAAACCATAAAAACTCTATCCCAGTTGCACCCCCCCTTGAAAGCCCACTTTAAGCCTCAACCTTTGCACCCCCTGAGGCTGATCCCGATCTAATGCAGCGCGGTGTTTACGGTTTGAGTGGCTTTTTGGCCGTCGCGTCAGAGCTGCGAATTCTATGGAGCCCACCTTATCTCTCCAGATTGCAGCTCGCCTGGGGTGTCGGAATGTTCAGGTCAATTTGTTGCATACATATGTGTATGTATATATATATATATATAGACACACGCATTTACGTGTGACACATTTGTAGCAGCGGTAGTTGATGTTGCCGCTGCAGCAGCAGCAGCAGCAGCAGCAGGAGAGCCGCAGGAGTTTAGTACTCGTTTGGTATAATCGTGTAGTAGCAGTAGTCGTAGTCGTAGTAGCAGTAGTCGTCGTCGTCGTCGTAGTGTTAGTAGTCATAGTCGCTGTGGTAGTTCTGCTGGTAGTGGCGGTGGTAGTGGTAGTGGTAGTAGTAACTGTAGTAGTAGTAGTAGTAGTAGTAGTAGTAGTAGTAGTAGTAGTAGTCGTAGTAGTTGTAGTAGTAGTAGTAGTAGTAGTAGTAGTAGTAGTAGTAGTAGTAGTAGTAGTAGTAGTACGAGTATGAGTACTAGTACTGTACTAGTACTAGTACCACTACTACGAGTAGGTACCAGTACTAGGAGTAGCAGTAGTAGTAGTAGTAGTAGTAGTAGTAGTAGTAGTAGTAGTAGTAGTAGCCATCGTCGTCGTCGTCTTAGTGGCAGGGTGTGGTCTCACCGTACGCATAACTCTATATATATATATATGTATATATATATATGTATATATATATATATATGTGTATACATATATATATAGACATATGTGGTACCCCCGCCCAAGATCTATGTATTTTATCTGTTCTCAGCTCTTTCCCCCTCACGAGCATCTCCTCATGACCATCCTTCCACTCACGATCGCCTCCCCATGACCGCACAAACCCCTCTTTCCACTCACGTGTCTCAGATCATCTCCTAGTGTCCGCACAAACCGACCACATTGAAGCCCAATGCAGCCCAATATTTCAATATGCCCCTCAGAGGACCAGCCACATTGAGTTTCAATATGGCGGATCCAAGATTTCCCAAGACTCTTGGGGAGGAATCTTGGATCAGGGATCTTGGATCCGCCAAATTGAAGTGCAATATGGCTTCAATATTTCAATATGGCCCTCCCTGAGTCCAAGATTCCTCCGAGGAGTCCCGTGCAATCTTGGATCTTGGACCCGCCATATTGAAGTTCAATGCGTTTCAATACGTCAATGGGGTCCTCTGCCCTTCGTGGTTGTTTTTATCTCCGCGGCTCCTGTGTCAGTCTGCATGTGCATGTCTGCGGCACCCCAAAAATCAAAGAAACCAGTGGCCACCTTGCCCCACGAACCTGCAAAGATTTGTTTTGGGCTTGTTTGGGACCGTACAGCACTGTAGTAAAAAACATTTTTGTTTTTGTTAGGTTCTTGCAAAAAGTGCTGCATTGTCCACAAAAAACCAATTTTGTTGGAGGCCTGGGGAGACTGGGCAAGATTGGTTTTTTGTGATAGAACAGCACGTTGGCAAACAAGTGGTTTCTTTGGGACACTACAGCAGTTTTGCAAGAAAATAGCTAGAGTGCTGTATTGTTTCAAAGGCAGTCTTTGGGAGGCTTCTAAAGAGAATTTGCTGAGTGACACGCACGGTGCAGAATGTCTTCTTCCGCCCTATTAGTGTTCTATTTTACAGAGGACTTGTGCATTGCCGCCTCGCTGAAAACTGGGTTCATTTTAAATTTCTAACTCATGGATCCGCTCCGAAACCTTGAATCGCAGCAGTACGTTGGGGAAAGCAGTTTTGCTGACCTGGGGGGTCAAACCATGACATGTATCAAAGTAACAATGACATCTCCTTGTGTTTCAAACTTCTTTTGCTTGTATTTAGATGTATGTGATGTTGATAAACTTATTAGGTTGTCATGTGAAACTGTACAACACTTACAACCACTACCTCGGTTTCTACTTGTTTTCTTAAAGACGGTATAGAGGTGTATTTTGGTTTTAGGCTATCAGTCTCACTGACTGGTTAATGTTTACGTGTATCCGATTGCACATTTCCTGATGCAAAAGGATGATAAACGTGATGCTTGAGATTCAGTGTACACTATTACATGATTAAATCTGCTGGGTAAATGAAATAGAATAGTTTAAGTGAAAGTGTCTTAATGTTGTTTTTAGTTTCACCTGAATAATTAAAAATGAGTTGATTTTAACTTTATGAGAGAATGAAAGATGGCTTAAGGCATTTTAGCTGGAGTTTGGTTATTAGCATGAGGGCAAGGCAGTAGTAGTATACCAGGATCAAGGCTAGAGCCTGAACGTTATTAACCTTCATGTTTGGTTACTACTCGTAGTAGTTGATAGTAGTAGCAGTAGTAGCAGTAATGGTAGCAGTGGTATTATCGCTCTTTTCGTGGTTTGATACAACCGTCTTGATAGGACTTAAACAAGTGTTAGGAATTCATTTCATAGTATGATACCAATGTTAAGAGTAATAAGGTGAAGATTAATGATTTAGTAGAAATAATAATCGTAGCACGAGTATGTGTAATAGTAGCATGAGCAGCAGCAGGAGTAGTAGTAGTAGTAGTAGTAGTAGTTGTAGTTGTTGTTCGTAACAGTATGTAGTAGTAAGTAGTAGTAGCTGGAGCACATGCCACGACAAGAAACAGAGCCACGAAACTGGTACTTGTTTGGAAATCCATCTCAATGGCAGTAGTAGGAACAAGCACAGTAGCAGCAGCTGCTGCGAACAGGTCGAAATGCATGGGTCTGTTGGCATTTAGGGGGTGGGGGGGTGGTGGCATACATACATATATATATATATATGTATATATATATATACATATATATATATACACATACATTGTGACATATTTGTATGGTAGCATATGTATACACACGTATATTCGTAGGCAGTCGCACGATTTCTGTCATCGTTGGTAGACTGCCTAAGCAGCAAAAGCACAGCAAAGAGTACAAACTCATAGATCATTCAGGGGGGCAGCATATACATATGTATATATATATATATATCTATGAATGTTTTTGCCCATTGGGACTGAGGTGGTGCGTTTTCGAACTGGCGGCTTTCCGCAAAGCAAATCCTGCCGGAAGGACAGATTTGAACCTGCAAGGCCTCCAAGAGTCGGATGGCGGACGATGGCCACGGCCCCCGGCTGCCATCTTGCCAACCCGTCAAAACTATATCGAAATTGACAGCATCACCCTAACACAAGCTTCGGACGAGTAAAAGCAACACTCGTAGCCAGAGCAGTCAGCCGTTCAAAACCTGTGTCCGTGGCCGTTCTTTCTTACCCCCTCTCTGGAAGGATCGTCCTCAAGCCTTTGTTCGTCGAAACTGGTTTGCTCATTATTGTCGTGGGCATCTATGGGCTCATAATCGTCGATGAGTGGCGATTTGGTGACGCGGGTGTTTCGACTGTGCTGGTTGTGCTCACCATGTTTCCGAGCTACATCTGGTTCCACATTCTCCGCAGATTGCTCAACGACCAGCATCACCTCGTAAATGAACTGCGCACTTTCGATATCGAGAAGGTCCACTGCCGCTCTGCGGAAGACACCGAATACATCTATGCTGCCATTCACTCGTGGTATGGAAGCTCGAAAGCGTTCACAGATCATGTGAAAGGGCCTCTGGCAGACGAGCTCACGAACTGCTTTTCAAGGACGGATCTTCCGGGCGCTTATTGGCTAATGATTGCAACGCCATTCGTCACCTTCAATGTGGCAAGATCTTGGCTCTATGCTGAAGCACCCACATCTACTCTGGACATGATCGTCGGCCATTGCCTAGTAAGATGCATTGGCAATAGTGTCTTGAACGTCCTCTTTGTGCAGTTTGTGTTTCACGTTTGCCGTAGATTCGCGTCTTCTGCAGGGACGTTGCTCGACTACGGCAAAACGTTCTTGATCTGGCTGGCCCTGTCCGCAGTCCTGATGTGCATGTTCACAATCGGTTCCATGGTGCTAAACCAGGAATCGCTGGCAGTGTCCATCTCATACACTGCCGCCACCACAGCTCTGTACGGCATTGTAAGCACACGCAGCAGGTGGAGGAAGTGGTTTCACTCAGCTTCCCCCTGTGACCGAAGTGAAGAAACATTTGAAGTCTAGAGTTCTTTGTGCGAAGTCAAACCTTTCCAAATTTTTAACACAACCATTTTCCCCACATCAGACAGTCTTGAGCTTGTCTGAAGTGGTTAGCGTCTCCCCTCAGGGGAAACCTGATATGGGGCGTCATCTTACGATGTCCTTGCGTGCTTCGCAGACATCGCCATGCCCAAGGAATTCGAAGGAGAGCAGCCGCGGCTGCTGTCTCCAGTCTTGACGGCCACCCCTACCGAATTTTATTTTGTGGAGATGATCATCTTTCTTAGGCTCGTCTGGTCTGTAATGTGACACTCATATTGCTAGCATAGTCCATCGCTACGTCCCGCAGCATGTAAGAGGTGTTGCCGGTGTGACGAAGTGCAGGGCGGCCTCTGGGTGCTCGAAACCCGATGCTTGCAACGCTGCTATTCTAGGGGCCGAAATAATTATCAGTACTATTTGGGGGAGTTCCTTATTATAATATAACTGTAGTATAATGGGTCCCGAAACCCTATGCTAATTCTTAAGGCCCCTAGATGTCGCTGCATGCTAAGATCATGTCAGCCAGCCGCTCTTGTTTACAGTCTCGCAGACATGGATCCTCCGTCCTATAGACCCGGAGGTCTGTCGCATGTGTGAACCGTGCGCAACACTCCTCCGAATCGAAGTCCGCAGTGCTCTTGCAGCACCCCATGGGCTTCAGCGCTTAGGGTGGACAGTATCGGCTATCATGTACCAGATGCGCATGTAAGTTATTTACATATGCTTATGTGTGTATATATATGTATACGTACGAGTTCAGCAAGGAGGAGTATTGCGCTTGGACCATGTGTTGCGCGAGAAAAGCAGGAGGTGGCAAGTGGATGGGTTCAGCAACTTCCTTTGGAGTTTCGATTCCAGCACCGTCCGCTGCAATGCAGCAAGGTTTGCACATCTTCACTTCCGGAATCTTCACTTCCGGAATCCAAACTTACCGCTGGTATTCGAGTCTCATGTAAGCCGAAGGATGAAGCTGACGAGCTCAGAATGCACGAGTATACCACGGAGTTGGCGCAGGTTTCGAAGCAGTGCTCACCTGCTCGAAGTCTCCGTTCCGGGGCCCCGATAGCTAGCCTGGCAATGGGTCTGGCGCAAGGAGCAAACCTGTAACCCGAAATTGGGCCGCTGAAGCTCCGATGGGCCCTGCAACCCTAAATCCTCGGTAGGAAAGCCGAAGTCTGAATCCTAAGCCCATTGATCCCGGAGTGAATCCAAAGCCCCACGCCCCGTACCCAGGCGCCTCTTGCTCCAAGGGCGTGGCTCCCTCAGCTACGCACAAAGCCTCTTCTTCTTCTTCTGTAAACTTCAACTATGCCTAATCTGGTGGCTGAGCGAGTTTGAGTAAACCTGTATGTATATGTACGCATACATACATATGCATACATATGTATGTACATATACGCGTTGATACATACACATACAGACATACATATCAGCTCATGAATTGGCACTCACATATGTGTATACATATCTAGAGACATGGCACAATTTTTCTTGTATGACTATAGGTATCCGTACATGTACCCGGACTTCCCGAGATTGGCTTAGGTCTGGTTTTTTGGAAAATCTTGACCTGGGGGGCGGGTGATGGCCTAGGGCCTAGGGTTGAAGGCGTAGATACATACCGTAGGCCCATACCTCAAACCCTGAACCCTATACCCAAAACTAACCCTGGCCTTCCAGAAGTCTTGCTTTGCAGGTGTACTCCCTGGACGCTGCAGGATGCGTGCCGTCAGGCGGCAAGCTTTTTGCATTAGAGCGATGGCTTTGGCTGTAAGAACCGAGCCCCTCGACGAGGCAGCAGGTTTCGTGTTGCCTCAAGGCTAGGACATCATCATCATCATCATTATCATCATCAGCCTCGACGTCATCATTACTAAGACCGCAATGGGGACACTACCCACCAGCATTGGCGGAACTTACCCTGCGCTTCTGCCAGGGTGCACCGCTGACCTCACCACCGTTGCCCAGATGGGAACATCCGTGCGCCCGACTCGCTTCCTGCCCAGAGCCCGATCCCAAGTTCGACAACGCAACATCGCGAACTCGGGCAGTGGCATTGATGAAATACCCAGTCTGCCAGCGCTCTGAGCATCGTTGGGGAAAGTGGGGAGGCCTGTTGTCCGAACGTCAACGTCGCTCCATCCCAAGCTTCAGTCCACAAGTCCTACAGGAGCTGCTTTGAGCCACACTGCTTGGCCAGGAGCTGATACTTCCTCTCGTCTGGATCCTAGCTTTCTGCATTCCGCGAAGTTGCTTGGTGGCCGGAGGTTTACCGTGTTGCTTGTATTGGGGTCTTGTTCAGACTTTGGGGGTGCTCGGGTCCACATAAGACTTCCAAAGCCGACAGCAGGAAGACCGAAGTCCCCAAAGCCATTAGCAAGTCGCTGAAAAGGTCGGCTAGGACGTGGTTGACTGTGTCGGATCTGAGAGTGTAAATAAGGCATTGGATACTGAGAGGCAATGATTAACCCGTTCTGGGAAACGTGATCCCGGTGTTGGGGCGGAGGTTTTCGTAGCAATATTGTGGCCAAGGCCAACGCTGGAAAACACCCAACCCCTTATTGAGCCTCAGCCGCCCGCCAAGCTTGTGGCGACCGCTACTGTAGTCTTTTGATAAGTCGAACCGAACTGGCCTCCTAGCCAGCACTTTCAGGGACAAGCGCTGGCTCATGGAGGTTCTGCCTCCAGGCCTCCGAAGGGCGGGGGACTGCCGGAGAGCTGCAGGCTAGAACTAGAGTGACATACAACAGAAACACACGGCCATGCACACGTGCGAATCTGAAGCAACAGAGCAGTGCTGTACATGTTGGATGGGAGAGACAAGTACGGAGAGCAACTGGGCAAACGAACTGACCTGCCCACCGCTGGGGCCTCTAGGGGGCACCCGCTCTTCTTCTTGTTGTGATGGGTTGTCCCATGTTTTGGTGCGTGATCGCGGCTGCAGTTTGATTTCCGCTGCCACGCAGGCTTTGCGCATCCGTCATGGGAGGCTTCTCCGGAGACTTCACTGCAGCGTAGCTCTGACATGTTTAGCCTTACTTGGAACAACCGTCCTCCGGGAAGCGACAGACTCAGATCACGTCCAGCTGATGTCAGCCAGTACTTTGGTCAAGCACATGTTCATACACATGATTGGAGCATGGCCGTGACACTCCTGATGCCGTTTCCCCGCTCCGTTTGATTGCAATCTCTTTGTAGGATGAAGTCACATTCCAGGTGCTCTTTCGGCACTGTGTCTTCGGACAGCTCAGGTCCAGCACACAGTCGTACGCGAAGCTCTAACTCTTCAGAACTTGAAGGCATGTCTAGCCTTTGAAAGCTAACGGGAAGTTCCCGGCAAGTCGTTGCCGCATGACGACACCTTCCGTGTGGTCCGAAACCCTGAACTCCCGAGGCTGCAGTCCAGCAGGCTGTCCAGGAGGTCCCTGCCTTTTCTAGGCATGTCTTGAGTGCCGTTGGAGCGAGTTCATGGGGCCTTGTTTTCCGAGTTCGTACAGCCGTCACTCAGCCGAATGCGGATGTAATCAACATAAAAAAGGAATTCGCGATAGTTGCCTGACTTGGCAGTGACGACAGCAGCAAACAATGACAAAAGCCCTGATTAGTCATGATTAGTCATCGTGAGCACCACACTCATGATATACTTGGCAGGCTTACAGGCAAACGACAACTGGTAGATCTGCACATGAAGTAGTGATCGGCCCGAGCAGCAGAAGCAGCAGCAGCAGCAACAGAAGTACAAGTAGGAGAAGCTGTCGCTGTTGCTGTTGTCGTCGTTGTAGCCGTCGGAGGAGGAGCAGAGCAGCCGTAGCTGTATGGTGTGCTGGTATGGCTGTAACTGGATTGCTGGCGGTGCTTGGGTGTTGTTGGTTCATGCGTGATGTTGAGTGTTTGGTTTTTTTTGTGATGGCTTGTGTGCATGCACGGCGGTGGTGGTGGTGGTGGTGGTGGTGGTGGTGGTGGTGGTGGTGGTGGTGGTGGTGGTGGTGGTGGTGGTGGTGGTGGTGGTGGTGGTGGTGGTGGTGGTGGTGGTGGTGGTGGTGGTGGTGGCGGCGCTGCTGTGTTGTTCATTGTCCTTGTGATAACTTGTTCGTTTTGAGCTGCCTACTTGATCTTTCAGCGGCAGCTATGGCATCAAGAAGATGCACAAATCAGGCGGAGTGGTCATTGTCGTTGTCGGATCGGAATCCTCGGTGTCCAACGTGACGCAGGACATGCAAAGTCCTGCCCTTAGCTTGGGTGCAAGGCTTACGGTGTTGAGCTCTGCAGGTGACATATTACGAGACCGCAGCTACCTACCCCAGAGGCCACGGAATGCTGAGGCAGCTTGTAGTGGCAGCCACAGCGGGCCCAAATCAGAGACGACGACTCAGAGCTCTGCAAACCCATCCTTCAACGTGAGGCCCCTGAGACGAAATGTGGCAGAAACCGGATCGCAGAATGCTCCGGCCAATCTGGTTCTATAATATGGGGGCCTGAATAATTAGAATAGGGTTTTGGGGCCGCCCATTATACCATGAATACAATAAGGAACGCCCAAAATAGTTGTGTAAAGTGAGGCGCGGAGCTGAACCCACCTTGGCAGCAGAGTATCTCAGTCTGCCCAAAGGAGCCATCCAAAGCATGGGCCCTGCAGACTAAACGACCCAATCACAGCTTGAGATCCTTAGGGGTACTACGGCCCCCTGCCCCCCCACTAAGTAACGGTCCTTATTACGAGATCTAGGTTCCGAATCCTACAGCATGAACTGCTCGGACTTCGACATGAGCTACACGGGCTCCATCAGCCGCGGCCTTGGATTTGCAGGGACTTGGAGAGTCCTTTGACTTGAAAAAGACCTCAAAGTTGATTCCTTGATGCTGCTTCGAGGTTGGAGGAGAGCTGCGTGTGCATATATGTACACATGCATGCAGGCATGCATACATTGCTAAACACATAGATGTATGAACAACTGGATGGATGTAAACCTGCTGGAATAGTTCTAGCATCTGTCACGCTTCATGTACGTATGCCTGAAGCACAACGGATGCAGTTTCTTCCGTGCAGGAGCACCTCGGGACCCAGAACCTAAACATCATTTTTAGGCCACGCATTCATACCAGGATGATGACCGTGATGATGATGCTGCCGCTGACGAAGGTTGATCATGGCAATAATTCTGCTATTGACGGTTGCGATGTTTGTCTTGATGATGGTGGTGATGATCCAGTGGGTTGACGGTGGTGGGCTGTGGTTGTGATTGTGGTGCTGTTTTGTGGTTGTAGTCCTGGGACAGAGTTGATTGATTGATAATGATGGTGAACGGTGATGACGATAGTTAGGGTCACTTCTCGACGCTGTCAGGTGTGACCTGTGAAGCCGGCGTCATCAAGGCTGATGCTACCACTTGCACCCCTGCTGGTTCCGGAACTTGCAAATTCAGGGCATTTGAAGATGTTTGAAGGCTTCCGATAGTTGAAGGGTAGCCGATAAGGGTTGGTTAGGTCTTAGGCGGTCTTGGGTCGTGTGGGCGTGGCTCTCCGCGAGGTTTCCTGAGTATTTCACCCGATTGTCAAGCCATGTGCCAGCGGTGCTGTGGAGATCCAGGTACCCCCGTGGTCGTTGCCGGCACCGTGACGCAGGCCGTCGGCTTAAGTTGGGTGGGTGGGATGATAGCAACTGATAACAAGCCGAGGGATCATGGGAGCGTAGATGTGCCCTAGCTTGAGTCTCGACCGTGGTTCCATGTGCGGTGCTTGTCCGATCAGGAAGTGACGGTTGTCGAGAGTGCGGTGGCTTTCGCACTGCCCGCCATGGAGGGCGTTTCCAAGGATGAGCTGCAGGCCTATCCGCGCCAAATAACGACAAACAGCTGATTGAAAGTGCACAAGCAAAGAAAAACTTCACACTGGAGTGTATCGGGCAATGTGCCTGAGTGGTGTGTCAGACCTCACCTTTGCGTCATTTTGCGTCTACTCTGTGATTCGCAAGTGATCAGATAGAAAGGACAATAGCATGTGTTCTGTAAGTTATAGGCTGTGGGAGATGAACAAGGAGTACATGCTTGTCATGCTTGTAGTAGGCTCCATCACCCTCGTTTGCCCCGCTTTCTTTGTCGCTCAGGTCTGCATTCTGCCACGTCCATGCTACTAGCCCATCCATTGGCCAGTGCGTCCATGCCAACACCATGATAACATCCATGCGACCAGCCCATCCATTGGCCGGTGCATCCATGCCGAAACCATGATAACGTCCATGCTACCAGCCCACTCATTGGCCATTAGACAAGGTTCAGCCAGAAGAGCTGTCCAGTCAGACGGGCCGTGTTGCATAACCTGATCTTAAGCCTCCCTCCAGTCCTGCCTGCCGTTGCACTGCCCTCTCTAAATCAACACGTCCGGCCGCGCAGAAACATCGAGTTTTTCGCGCTGTTGCCCAACACGCAAGCAGGGACGCCATGTTGAACTAAGATATACATGCAAAATCAGCAAAATCGGCCGCGCAGAAACATCCAGTTTGTTTTGCTCCTCACTATAGATTTTCCGGTACGAAAGTTGAACAATGCAAACATAAGTCGGGGCAAACGACGGCGATGGACCCTTTTAATAGCATGATGCAGCACAACTGATAGACTCATATGATTACGACTTAAAACTTAAAAAGCGCATTCTGTCTATCTGTCTATTTGTCTCTCTATCTGTCTGTCTATCTATATCTATCTATACCTGGCTCTACCTATCTATATCTACCTATATATATATATATATATCTGTCTGTATCGGTCTATCTACCTATCTATATCTATCAACTACGCCTGTCCATATCTACCTATGTCCATCTATCCAACTATCTTCCTATCGGTCTATCTATCTATATACATATATATATATATATATATAGATAGAGAGAGAGAGAGAGAGAGAGAGAGAGAGAGAGAGAGAGAGAGAGAGAGAGATCTATCTGCTGGCCTATCTATCTAATGTGCATACGCGCACACTGCCGAAGGCCGCCATGGACACGCCGGCCACGAAGCAGGCCTACGCGAAGACGCTGCAATCCTCCCTGGGAGTGGAGAACCTGGAGGCCCAAGGGAAGTTCAGAGGCATCTGCGACGATGTGACGATGACGATCATGATGATCATTGTTATGATGATGAGGATGGCGATGATTATTAATGTGAAGATGACTGCCCCGATCGCTATGAATATGACAAGGGCGATCATGGATGATCACGGGGTTGCGACGACGTTGAAGATGTACAGCAAGCAAAGACCATGACTGTGTTCCCGTCAAATCCTCTAGTTCTTGTTGGTCTTGCATGGTCGTCCATTGATGACTTTCTGCTGCCACGACCCCTGTCGTGAGTCGTGACCTGTGAAGGACATCATCATCCTGCTCATCCAGGTTCTGGAGTCCGCGTCTGCTCGCGCCTCGAGATTCCGCAAAGCTGAGAGCTCTGGTGTACTGCTGGGATGTAGGGCGTGTTCAGGCCAGGTATCAGACCACTCTTAACTTAGGAGTCCGGCCCTTGCTTCGGATTCCCCTGAAACGCTTCTTGTGACGAGCACTCGGCCCACCCGACTGCTATCACAGCTGCTGCTAGGGTCTGACATTCAGGAGATTTGTGATTTTGGGAGGCCGCATGCTTATGGGAGCCGGCAAGCATTTTTCCAGGGTGCCGGGAAGCGTAGGTTCAGGCTGCATGATCCTGGAACCCCCGTCAGCTGAGCACCAAGGAACTCTTCACGCGTCAGCTTTTGCAGGGTAGGGCACCTTGTCTTTGGATGGTAGCGGGATGGAAAGGTTCAAAAGCCACCCAAAAATCTGCAAACTTCGGGAGAAAACTCGCACTGCCCAAAACTGAAAAAGCAGACTTGAACCCACTCCCTTCCATTGCACGTCGAGGGCGGACGTCGTCTCCAAAGTGCCGAGCACTCAGCGGGAATCGCTCTGGGTCTTGGAGAAATTCCACCGCTAGTATTGGATCCGGGCAATGACATACTGCTGAAGTATCTAATTATCTGTCTGTCCATCTATCTGTCCATCTACACGTATCTACATCAACCCCTCCATCCATTCAAAAAATCCACCCACCCCACCCAGCCACCCCCCGGCGTGCCCCGGACCGCCCCGCCCAGGTATGGCGTGCGTGCGTGACTCCACCTAAAAACCCCTTCTGGTCATTAAGGTGCCTGTATTAGAGAGGAGGTGCAGCTACGGCAGAATGCCCGGCTCGCGCAGGTTAGACTTGAGAAGGCTCGAAGTCAAACCGACCTTGAATTTTCAGTTGCCATTGTGCCCATGGCGACCAGCGCCCCTCTGCTCGGCAAGCAGGGCAAGGCCGCCCACAGCAAGGCATCGATCTTCTATGGAGCAGACGAGTACCTTGAGGAGCTGAGTAGGCGTCCTTTATTTATTGGTACTAGCATGGCTATTAGTATTGACTTTTTACATCTTGAGTATGCTGTCCAACCACCCCCCCCCCCCCCCCCAAAAAAAAAAAATGAGGAGCTTAAGAAGAAGTACGAGCACGACCACGAAATTGCTGCCCTCAAGAATGCGCTGCCGGGCGAGGGAGATCCTAACGCGGCAGGCGTTGCCCAGAGCAACGACAAGATGCTCTCCGTTCAGAAGAACGACGAGAACAGGAGCTTGAAGACCAATCGGCTCTTCCCGACTCCGAACAAGCCAGACCCGATGCCGCAAAACTTGGCATTCCTCTTCACCAAGATCACGCCGGACCGGGATGCTGCGCTTGCTCATAAATTCAACTCGCTCTATGTCGACGGATGCAAGATAGGAAGTGAAGGTCCCCGTAAATGTTTAAGCCCACTGAGCAGATCCTTTGGGAAACCCTTCAAAATCGCTGCAGGAGCAAATGATCTATATGAGCCTTGTCATAGTTGGGTAGCTTTTTGCATGTTTATGGGTACTTAACCCAATAAGGAATAGAAGTTTACATTTTCGTATTATCCCAACTATAGGTGGAATGTACTTACGGCAATTTTCTTTACCCAAGTGTTGATGGTGATCGGCTACTGTGCAGCATTGGCTTGCTTTCCAGACTACTGGTGGACCTGCACGCTTTGCTTCGGGATCCCCTTCTCGTACATCGCCATCCAGAACATCTACATCGATCACGATGTGATGCATGGTGCCACTTTCCCGGTGTACGAGTGGCAGCGTTTTTTGACCCACCCATTTGCTGACTTCTTCAGCTTGCCGTGGGAGGAATTCGTCCTCGAGCACAACAGGCACCATGCCTCAACTGTGGACTTGCTGATCCAGGGTGAGTTCGGCTGGGACCCCGAGGAGTTCCACTACGCCCTGCAGCAGTGGGCCGGGCCATGGAGCTCCAACTGGTACAAGTACCTGCTCACCGTGCCTTTCATCCCTGTGATCCACTTCTTTGGCCTGAACGACACCGGCTCCCTGTTCGCCTTGGAGTGGTGGATGCACTTTCCCGACGAGGGCGCAGGTGGCAAGTGCAACAAGGAGCTTCCCGGCTTGATTGACCAGTTTTAGGATTGGTCTTGACACAGTTCGGAGCAAGGTCAGCGCATGGTGCGGCCATGTTTCTTGCTTCGATGTAGAATCTCTTCACACTGAGGTTCTGGAGCAAGTGGATTCCACGCCGCGTCAAGCACAACGCCTTCGTGCTCTCCCTGTGGGCGTGCGTGTGGCTGCTCGGCACTTACCCTCTGGGACGTCCTCTGAGCGAGGGCTGGCGGTTCATGTTCACCGTGTCTGTCTTCGCTCGCATCGGCTACTCCGCGGCCTGGATGTTCATCACCAACTTCACGCATAGCTTCTAGGCGGCTTCAATTTGGGATTATGTTGAGTTTCCCGTTTGGTCTTAGAGTTCACCCTAAGCCCGAAGCCTAAACCTTGTGCTAGGGTAACCCCGACCGAAACCTCAAAACCAAAAGTTACCACCCGTGGCTAATGTGGGCGGCGCCTACATGATTACCAACATTATTCCATAGGTTTTCGTGTTATAGCTTGGTTCAAAACACTATTCCGATCAACAATACCACCGATGTGATTCTAAATTACATCTGGAGCTCTCTTAGCAGGCCCGTCTGACAGTCTCCTCCTGCTAGTTGAAAAAGGGCTTCACAAAATCAAACCCTGAAAAAAAAGATGTTACGGCCCAGGCTTGCCTTGGAACGAGTTCCTGGCACAGGATCCGGGCCGCACCTGGCCTGTCCTTCACAACGTGATGGCCATGGTCCTTGGAGGAGTCACGACTCAGCGGGTTTGGAGAGAAGCTCAAGGCTTGTGCTTGTTCGTTCCTTTTCTGCTTGGGGTTGGCTCCAGGAAAGCACCGCTGGAACGAGATGCTCTTCCACGATGCGGCTCAGCCGTTTTGGAATCTTTCTGCGAGTTCCAGGATCCGAGTAACTGTACGATGGCATTCGGCCAAATGCAAGTGTTAAAAAAAGATGAGGTCCATCATGCGTTCCCAAATGCTGTCGGCACGCTGAGCCAGCGCGGCCGCTTCCACGGCTGGGAGAAGGCTCTTCGGCCCCTGTTTAAGAGCCCTTGGCATATCTTCTACTGAATGTTGTCGCGAAGGAACGAACCACTTGAAGGATGCAGTAACTTCGGCGACGATCCCTGACTGTACCATCCCTGCACCTCACATCCCCCAGGTTCATGATGCAGCTGCAGAAGTCCTTCACCGTGGGCTTTGGAAGCCCAATGGTGATGAGGCAGACTTTCCTACACTCGAAAACCCGAACGCGCAGACTGCTGCTGCTGCTGCTTTCAGCTGAGTGCACACGAGAGGTTGGGTGATTGTGTCTTTTCTGTTCAGGAAACCCAGATGCAGAAGACGCAGAAGAAGCGCTCCTTGATGATGAAGCAGGGCAAATGAGATGCTCAGTTTTCGCTTCTGCCAGCATAGGGCTGCTCAGCTACACTGACAGCCTGGTATAGAAGCCTCTCTTGTACAGGCCTCTTGCGAAGGGCCTGGTTTGTACAGTACACCTCTGTGCGTGTGCCCGCGTCGGAGACGCTGGCCGCAGCTACTCCCTCGTTTGTACTTGGTTCGAGGCGTGTCAGGCAGCCTGGACAAGAGACTTTGCAAAAACCCTTCGCGGGACTCCGCCGCACGACTTGGCTTTGACTTTGACTTTGGCTTGACTTCAGCTGGCAGGCCAGACTTGAGAAGGCTCGAAGTCAAAACCGACCTTGAATTTTCAGTTGCCATTGTGCCCATGGCGACCAGCGCACCTCTGCTGGGCAAGCAGGGCAAGGCCGCCCACAGCAAGGCATCGATCTTCTATGGAGCAGACGAGTACCTTGAGGAGCTGAGTAAGTGTCTATTGGTATTAGTACTGCTATTTGTACTGTGAGTATTTTGGGCATGAAAAAATACACCAAAAAAACAAAAACACATCAGGAGCTTAAGAAGAAGTACGAGCACGACCACGAAATTGCTGCCCTCAAGAATGCGCTGCCGGGCGAGGGAGATCCTAACGCGGCAGGCGTTGCCCAGAGCAACGACAAGATGCTCTCCGTTCAGAAGAACGACGAGAACAGGAGCTTGAAGACCAATCGGCTCTTCCCGACTCCGAACAAGCCAGACCCGATGCCGCAAAACTTGGCATTCCTCTTCACCAAGATCACGCCGGACCGGGATGCTGCGCTTGCTCATAAATTCAACTCGCTCCATGTCGACGGATGCAAGATAGGAAGTGAAGGTCCCCGTAAATGTTTAAGCCCACTGAGCAGATCCTTTGGGAAACCCTTCAAAATCGCTGCAGGAGCAAATGATCTATATGAGCCTTGTCATAGTTGGGTAGCTTTTTGCATGTTTATGGGTACTTAACCCAATAAGGAATAGAAGTTTACATTTTCTTATTGTCCCAACTATAGGTGGAATGTACTTACGGCAATTTTCTTTACCCAAGTGTTGATGGTGATCGGCTACTGTGCAGCATTGGCTTGCTTTCCAGACTACTGGTGGACCTGCACGCTTTGCTTCGGGATCCCCTTCTCGTACATCGCCATCCAGAACATCTACATCGATCACGATGTGATGCATGGTGCCACTTTCCCGGTGTACGAGTGGCAGCGTTTTTTGACTCACCCCTTTGCTGACTTCTTCAGCTTGCCGTGGGAGGAATTCGTCCTCGAGCACAACAGGCATCATGCCTCAACTGTGGACTTGCTGATCCAGGGTGAATTCGGATGGGACCCCGAGGAGTTCCACTACGCCCTGCAGCAGTGGGCCGGGCCATGGAGCTCCAACTGGTACAAGTACCTGCTCACCGTGCCTTTCATCCCTGTGATCCACTTCTTTGGCCTGAACGACACCGGCTCCCTGTTCGCCTTGGAGTGGTGGATGCACTTTCCCGACGAGGGCGCAGGTGGCAAGTGCAACAAGGAGCTTCCCGGCTTGACTGGCTAGTTTCAGAATTGGTCTTGACAGTTCGGAGCAAGGCCACCTCATGGCGCCGGTCATGTTTCTTGCTTCCATGCAGAGTCTCTTCACGCTGAGGTTTTGGAGCAAGTGGATTCCACGCCGCGTCAAGCACAATGCCTTCGTGCTCTCCCTGTGGGCGTGCGTGTGGCTGCTCGGCACCTACCCTCTGGGACGTCCTCTGAGCGAGGGCTGGCGGTTCATGTTCACCGTGTCCGTCTTCGCTCGCATCGGCTACTCCGCGGCCTGGATGTTCATCACCAACTTCACTCATAGCTTCTAGTCGGCTTCAATTTGGGATTATGTTGAGTTTCCCGTTTGGTCTTAGAGTTCACCCTAAGCCCGAAGCCTAAACCTTGTGCTAGGGTAACCCCGACCGAAACCTCAAAACCAAAAGTTACCACCCGTGGCTAATGTGGGCGGCGCCTACATGATTACCAACATTATTCCATAGGTTTTCGTGTTATAGCTTGGTTCAAAACACTATTCCGATCAA